TTGTGGTTTTAGTAGAGACAGGGTTTCTCTGTGTTGGTCAGGCTGGTCTCAAACTCCTGACCTCAGGTGATCCCTCTGCCTTGGCCTCCCAAAGTGCAGGGATTACAGGTGTGAGCCACTGTGCCTGGCCCTGAACATTGCATTTAAATGGAATTATGCAATATGTGGCCTTTTGTGTCTGGGTTTTTTCACTTGGCATGATGTTTTTGAGGGTCATCCATACTGTAGTATATGCCAGAACTTTCTTTTTCTTGCCCATTAATATTTCATTTTCTGGATCTATTACATTTTGTTTATCCATTCATCAGTTAATGGACATTTGAGCTGTTTTTGCTACTATTATAAATGGAATTGCTGTCTTCATTTTTGGCTTGTAAATTGCCAGTGTATAGAAATAAAATCATTTTTTTTTTTTTTGAGACGGACTCTAACTGTCGCCCAAGCTGGAGTGCAGTGGTGTGATCGCCGCTCACTGCAACCTCCACCTCCCAGGTTCAAGCAATTTTCCTTCTTCAGTCTCCCGAGTAGCTGGGATTATAGGTCCCCACCACCACTCCTGGCTAATTCTTGTATTTTTAGTAGAGATGGGGTTTCACTATGTTGGCCAGGCTGGTCTTGAACTTCTGACTTCAGGTGATCCACCCATTTCAGCCTCCCAAAGTGCTGGGATTACATGAATGCCTGGCTACAACTGATTTTTGTAGGTTGATCTTGTATCCTACAAACCTGCTGAATTTTTTATTCTAATTAATTTTGTAGTGGATTCTGTAAGATTTTTCTATTTGTAGGATCATGCCATCTTTGAATAGAGATAGTTTTACTTCTTCCTCTCCAATCTGGATGCCTTTTATTTTTCTTGCAGTTTCTTCTTCCACCTATCTTTAGTTTGCCATGATTCTTCATCATGCAGACTCAGTGTTATAACTTCTCTTCTTGCTGTCTTTCTGTATGCTCTGAATTTTCAAGTTTAAATTTGAGAAAGTGAATAGAGAGATAGAGAAACGGGAGAAAGACATAGAGAATTGAGTAGCTCAAGTTTTGGCTATTACTTTTCTTAGGGTAAAGCTTTGCATTCTAGCTCATAGGTGTCTGGCTAGTAAATGCTACCTTTGGATTAGATGTGTGGGAAGTAGAAAAGTTTCTTTTTAAAGTTTCCTTTCTTGTTAAAAAAAGCGAAGTGTAGCTCTTTGTAAGCCCTATCCTATGTAGCTGTTAAACATGCCGTGCTTACAGGCATGTAGTACACTCTATGTCCTTATACTTTAGCTAAGATATGTGTGCTGATGTGCTTACAGGCATGTTCCAGCTCTCCACTGCTTTTACCTGTTTAGAAAAGTTGTTTTTTTTTTTTTTTTTTTTTTGAGACGGGGTTTCGCTCTTGTTACCCAGGCTGGAGTGCAATGGCACGATCTCGGCTCACCGCAACCTCCGCCTCCTGGGTTCAAGCAAGTCTCCTGCCTCAGCCTCCCTAGTAGCTGGGACGACAGGCACGTGCCACCATGCCCAGCTAATTTTTGTATTTTTAGTAGAGACGGGGTTTCACCATGTTGACCAGGATGGTCTCGATCGCTTGACCTCGTGATCCACCCGCCTCGGCCTCCCAAAGTGCTGGGATTACAGGCGTGAGCCACCGCACCCGGCCTAGAAAAGTTTTAAGTTGTTAGCCAGTTGGGTTTTAGTTTAGATTGTAAGGTCTGGCTCCAGCCAACGGAGATCAGACACAGCAGTAAGGACAACCCCAAACGCATAAGGGATAAATTTGCGTGTTTTCCTTTATTCTTTGTACTCTCATGGCAAGATGGCTAGTGAGAGTACCCTTCCTGCAGTCCAGGAAGTAAAAATTGTGTTGCTGAAAGACCCTTTGTCTCAGTGCTAATTTTTCTTTGGGGCACCGAGCATCTATTTCCAACGTCTATTGCCAACAATCATTAATAAGCTGAAGCCAGAAAGAAAGAAAGGCCACAGGTTCTGCGTAGCTCAAGAAGGGATTGTTTGGGCATGACTGGCCTGGAAATTGACATGAATAGAACAATATTGTTAGAGAAGGCATTTTTTTTTCAAGAATACATTGGATTTTTTTTTTTTTTTAAACTCAGAGTCATCTTTGTAATGTTGGTTAAAATGCATTAGGATGTCTGAATTATTTTTTGATTGTCTGTTTGATACGACCACTTACATATTTTTGTATCATAAAAAATGAAGGCACCCCACTACCTTCTCATGCTTAGCATTCATCATCTTTAATATATTTGTTTGAAAGAACTCTATTTAATATTCTAAGGAGATAAATATTTAAGACAACTGGTGGTTCCTTCATCTCTTTATGCAAGAAAGGCTTTCTTTGTACTTGGTTATTTTGGCAAGTGCTTACTGAGTATATGTTTTATATAGAACTGCCGATATTCCCTGTGTATTGGGGTAATAAGTGAGAGTGTGTTTGTGGAGGGGAGGGTCCCCGAAAATGAAAGTCATAATTCCTGGGAGTTTCAGTTCCTAGTAGAATAAAGAGTTGGGCTAGGCATGGTGGCTCATGCTTGTAATCCCAGCGCTTTGGGAGGCTTGAGCTCAGGAGTTTGAGACCAGCCTGGGCAACATAGTGAGACAACAGCCAGGAGTGGTGGCACACACCTGTAGTCCTAGCTACTCCGGAGGCTGAAGTGGGAGGGATAGTTTGAGCCTGGGAGATTGAGGCTGCAGTGACCCGTGATCGGGCCACTGCACTTCAGCCGAGGCAACAGAGCAAGACCCTCTCTCAAACAAACAAACAAACAAAAACCAAAAAAGAAAAAGAAAAAGAAAAAGAACTGAGTAGCATGTAAGAAGTAGCATGTAGTCTCATAACTGCAAAGTAACACAGTAAATTTGAAAAGAATGTAATGATGAGATGTAATCAACACTCTGCTACTGACCAGTGATATAGAGATTAAAAAGATATGGTTTCTACTCTAAAGATTCATACAGTAAGGGCGGGCGAGGTGGTTCACCCCTGTAATTCCAGCACTTTGGAAGGCCGAGGCAGTCGGATCACGAGGTCAGGAGATGGAGACTATCCTGGCCAAGGTGGTGAAATCACGTCTCTACTAAAAATACAAAAATACTAGCTGGGTGTGGTGGTATGCGCCTATAGTCCCAGCTACTCTGGAGGTTGAGGCAGGGGAATCCCTTGAACTTGGGAGGAGGAAGTTGCATGAGCCAAGACTGCGCCACTGCGTTTTAGCCTGGTGACAGAGCAAGACTCCGTCTCAAAAACAAACAAACAAACAAAAGATTCATACAGTGATAGAATAATAGATCAGCACATAATTTAAGCTCGAAAATGTGACTGCATTGTAGATGCCTTTGGCACAAGAGAATGTATGGTGTGTTGGGTCCTGCTGCTTTTAATGTTGAGAGGGTTTAATTGAAGAATGGTACCATCATTAACCTAATTTCTATTGAGAATCATCTGCCTCTGTAAAACTAAGGTCACATGGCTAAACTTAGTGCAACAGTGTGTTTAGCAAAAAATAAATATGTACATGGATAACCTAAAAACTATTTACTGGTCTTATAGAGGTGAAATGTTGAACTGTTAATAGAAACTTTCCACAACAGATCATCTCAACACTTCTGACATAGTTTTAATTCCTCCACTAATTTATGACATCTTTGGCCATCACTTAGCTTTTCTCTGCCTAACCTATTATGGACTAACTTATGTAACTGAAGTAGCAATAGAAGGAGACGCAAAAGTGGAAAGTGAATCCTCTGTGCACTTGGTGCAAAAAATTTATTCTCTGAATAAATGTATTTTCTCATAGACAGGTTTGAAAACCATAGTACTTACAATTTTACTTTACAAAAAGAAAAAAAAATCACAGATACATAGTTCATGATATAAGGACATGGACCAAATATACATTTATTTTTATGGCTAAGAATAAACTACATCATTCAGGTGCTGAGTAACAGTGTTTCAGTCAACGAAGAACCTCATATATGGTGGTGGAATCATAAGATTATAATGGAGCTGAAAAATTCCTGTCGCCTAGTATTTACTATACTATGCTTTTTTTGGTTAGGTTAAAGTGCATTCTTTCTACTGATTAAAAAAAGTTAATTGTAAAACAGCCTCAGGCAGGTCCTTTCGGGAGGTATCACAGAAGGCGTTGTTATCATAGGAGACAGATCCTTACGTGTTACTGCCTCCCAAGACCTTCCAGTGTGACAAGATGTGAAATCAGAAGACAGTGATATTGATGATCATGTCTCTGTGTAGGTGTAAGCTAATGCGTGTGTTTGTTTCTTAATTTTTTTTTTTTGGAGATAGAGTTTTGCTCTTGTTGTCCAAGCTGGAGTGCAATGACACAATCTCTGCTAACTGCAAACTTCACCTCCTGGATTCAAATGATTCTCCTGCCTCAGCCTTCTAAATAGTTGGGATTACGGGTGCCTGCCATCACGCCTCACTAATTTTTTGTTTTTTAATAGAGATGGAGGGCGGGGGGAGTTCACCGTGTTGGTCTTGAACTCCTGATCTCAGGTGATCTGCTGGCCTCGGCCTCCCAAAGTGCTGGGATTACAGGCATGAGCCACCACGCCTGGACTTGTGTCTTAATTTTTAACAAAAATGTTGAAAAAGTAGAAAATAAATAGTTTTAAAAATAGAAAAAATTTATAGAATAAGTATATAAAGAAATTTTTTTGTACAACTAGTGAGTGTGTTTGTGTTTTAAGCTAAGTGTTATTAAAGAGTCAAAAAGTTAAAAAAATGAGGAGTTTATAAATTTAAAAAGTTACAGTAAACTAAGGTTAATTTTTTCTCGAAGAATAAAAATATTTGAAAATAAATTTAGCATTGCCTACGTGTATAGTGTTGATAAAAGACATAGTACCGTATAGTCATGTCCCAGGCCTTCACATTCAACTCACCGACTCACCCAGGGCAACTTCCAGTCCTGAAAGCTCCATTCATGATAAGCGCCCTATAGAAATGTACCGTTTTTTATCTTTGATTTTTTTTTTTAATAGAACACTTCAAGAATTTGTGTGTCATCTTTGCACAGGGGCAAGGCTAATCTCTGCAGTGTTCAAATTGTTGTAGATGTGTTGTCAAAGCAAGCACTTTTATACTGTTTTTCCTGTACATTTTCTATGTTTAGATATATTTGAATACACAAATACCACTGTGTTGCAACTGCCTGCAGTATTTAGTACAGTAACATGCTGTACTTTGTAGCCTAGGAGCAATAGGTTATACCCAGTGGCCCACGTGTGTAGCACGCTACAGCATCTGGGTTTGCGTAAGTACACCCTACGATGTTTGCACAAAGTCACCTAACCAGGCATTTCTCAGAAGTAGTCTTCGTTAAGTGACCCCATGACTGTAATGAAACCCTAAGTTTGGAGCCAGGAGTTTGTGTATAGAACTCTAGGAATGGCTTCATTAGGAACCATGCATCTTTCTCGTTAAACTCTGGGTCCATTCGAGAGACAGATTTTGTATCTGAACTCAGTGCCTAAATTTCTAGAATTAGGTTTTCAAAAAGTTGCCCAGTCAGACGTCTCTGGGGACTCAAGACTACAACTCCCAGAATGCCACGCTCCCTTTACGCGCTCAGGAGCGGGTACAGAATGTCCCAGCATTCATCGCGCCAGATCAAGACCACAGTTCCCACTACGCCCAGGTACTCCGAGGAAAGCTTGTCAAACACCACCTGTTGCCATAGCATCCGGGTTGGGTGAACCAATCCGGGCGTCCCTGCCGAACAGAGGCGGGTAGTTCGCATCTTCGACCAACCCGAGGCGTTTTTGTTATGGCGCGTGACCGGAGGAGGCGGGAGCTCAGGACCGGCGCCTTCTCCTTGCTTCTGGGGTCGTGGCCTTGCTCCCGCTGTGCGGGAAAAGAATCTAGGCCCTTCCACGCGCTTGTTGGCGCGGGGGCCCCAGAGTGCTCGTGATTCCGCGCTAGGTCTCCGTGGGGGGGCAGGAACCGGAGCCATGGGTGGGACCGCCAGCAGCCGCCGAGTCACCTTCGAGGCGGACGAGAATGAGAACATCACCGTGGTGAAGGGCATCCGGGTGAGTGCCCGTGGACGGGCAGAGGGCCAGTGCTCGGACTCACACCCCATCTTCCCGGGACCCGCTCAGCCTGGTTTCTCCCGTCCTGGCCCCCGGTGTTGTACGGCCAGAAGCCCAGCTGTCTGGGAAGAAGTCCAGAGTTTCAGGATGTGGGAGAGTCATTCAGAGATAGTTCTTGTTTGTGTGCCAGGTGCTAGGCACTGCTGGGGGCGAGCGGGGGATGCCAGGTTGAATTAGACCCTGCAGGGGCTTACAGTCTACTCGTAAACTGTACTGCTCACTAGCTGCAGGACTTTATTTGAAACGCATACCTCAGTGTACCTGTCAGTGAAATGGGTCTCCTCCTGGGTTCAGGACCCAAATCCTGCTTTTCCGCTGCCCACACCCTGTCTCCCAGGGTGAATTGGCATCTTAAGGAACGCCTTTATTTGCTTTGCGTTATTTAGTGCTCTCCCTTGGATAATACCCCTCCTCCCACTCCCACCCGCCGTGATGCCACCCTCCCACCCCCACAGTCTTTTCCGGCCTGCCTGGGGTGGCTTCTGGCTTCTTCTCCCTGCTTCACTTTCACTTGGTATCTCCTCTTTCCCAGGCGCCTCCTCTGTGACCTGCTGCGCCGAAGTTTTGGACTAGGCCCTGTTGCTTCAGGACTAGTGTCTGCCAGTCTGCTAGGGGCTGAGATAGGTTTGCAGTTTTTCAGATCAGTAGAAGTAATGTAGTCATTTCTGACCAACGTTGTCGAGAACTTTTTTTTTTTAATGTCCTCTGCATGCACCGGATACATAAACTGAAAACTTGGTTTTTCTCTAGCGTGTCATTATACCAGCACTAACTTCATTAACACTCTCTCCGCTGCGCCTGAATTTGGAGCCTCACATTTTTGGACGTATGATGCCTGAACCTAGTAAATAAAGCAATCTTGACTTCAGAAAGTTTTATAATGCTTCATATATTTCTTTTCTGTTATCAACCAGCATAAATAAATTACATTTGTAAATTATTTTTGACAGTTGTCACCAGGAAATAAAACTTCTTAAATATTTAAAATGTTTAAAAAACTTCTGAAACTGTTATCTTGAGAAGAATTTATTAAACTTTTCTTTATAGAAACTCAGACTGTTGAACTCAGTTTTTGGTCTGTGACCAGCATTTCTTTATATTGTACTCATTAATGGTAGTACTACGTTTTGTAATAAACTATCTGAGGCTGCATTCTTAAGAGTTACTGTGATTCACTTACTACTCTGTGGAGTAAAAAGTCACTGTAAACTGTAGGTTTTATGCAGAGATTTTAAGACTCTTGCCATTAGGCCTTCGGTATGCCACTCGGTGAAAAATAATTAAAAGGCAAAGCAAAATAAGTTTTGGGTGAGAAGGCATTGGTTAGAAAAAAATGTATAAATCTGGGACCGGGCGCGGTGGCTCATGCCTGTAGGGCCAACAGTTTGGGAGGCAGAGGCAGATGGATCACGAGGTCAGAAGTTTGAGACCATCCTGGCCAAGATGATGAAACCCCGTCTCTACTAAAAATACAAAAAATTAGCTGGGCATGGTGGCGTGCGCCTGTAGTCCCAGTTACTCGGGAGGCTGAGGCAGAGAATTGCTTCAACCTGGGAGGCGGAGGTTGCAGTGAGCCGAGACTGCGCCATTGCACTCCAGCCTGGGCGACAGTGTGAGATTCCGTCTCAGAAGAAAAAAAAAAAAGAAAAAGTGATAAATCCATATTCTCATGCTTTAGTACAGACACAAGGCTAACAGCAAACAAAATTGAAAGAGAATGTGGCCACAGCACAGAGGTTCATACCAAGAATTTGATAAAGTTGGATGGAATAACTGTGACAGTAGGGATACGAATTCTATTAAAATGGAAAAATTGTCTAAAAAACCTTTTTAAAATTTTTGTTTTTTAAAAAGAAACTGTTCTTTGGCCATATAACTTGACAGCATTCTTCATTTTTTTTCTTTCTCATATAGTACATTTTATCTGTGTTGCTACAGTTCAAGCATATGCTCATTCTGACCTCTGTGCTTTTCTTCTGAATATACCCTTCACCTGGAATGCCCTTGCTGTGGTCTCCATTGCTTCAGATCCTCCTTTTACATGAATGTTTTGCAGTCTCTCTGAGCTTCAGTTTTCTCATCTGCAAAATAATGGGGTTAAGTGCATCTCTCAGATCCCTGATATTTTCCAGTCCTGAAATCCTGTGAGTCTCCTGGCACTCTTAAGCTTCTTGTAGCCATACTTAGCCCATTGCAGTTTCCTCTGGAAGTGACATCCTTAAGTATTGAGTACACAGAGGTCATTCTGATTTCTTTGAGCTCATGATCAAAAGAGTGCCAACTTGAAATTAAACAGACCTCAGTTTAAATCTCAGGTTAGATATTTATTATTTAATCTGATTGCCTGTGTGATTTTTGTCTAGGTTTTCTGTAGATGTTTTCAGTTGATCTTAATATTTTTCCTGGTGAATTAGGCAGACATCAGTTTAAATGACAGGTTAGGTATTTATTAGCCTGTGGCCTTGGATAATTGATTTCTCTTATTTCCTTATCCATAAAGCGTAATACCATCATTTCTCTTGATTGATTGTGTTAAGAAGATGAGGCAAGATACAAGGTATGTAAAGCACCTGGCACATTGTAGATTTTCATTAAAAAGGCAGCCATTATTATGATAGGGTTCCTTTCACATCCGAAGTTAGAAGATTCTTTGAAAGTGCTGTGCCATGTAGTGGAAAGAGCGTGTGCCTTGGAACCAAGGAGACCTGGGTTGGTTTCCAGCTCCGCCTCTCACTAGCCATGTGGTTCTGGGCAAGTCACTTTTCATTATGTTTCCGTAGTCAGTATTTCTGGATAAAGCAGCCTACTTTCAGAATTTGATGTAATGTAGTAACAGTATCTAGTACTTTGACAGTGTTTGCACTTGTGAGTAGTAGCTGTTATTAGAGCTGTTCAAAAGAATGGATAAATGAACTTATGTGAACTTAAAATGTTAATAAAAATAAGAGCCCGTTGTGCTCCCATAGGTGTACCTAAAGGGTTAAGGACTGGGAAATGAGAGTCTTGCATTCTGCCCTAATTGAGGGTATTTTTTTTTTTTTTTTTGTCTAGGACTGTTGTAGATGGGTTTTAGTTCTTTATATTTTTCTTGGCTTGAAACAGTCATGTTTCATTCTGAGACTTGGGGAAGGATAAGAAACCCCATTCTCGGTGTGTACGTAAGCCGTCGTTTTTAGCTCAGTTGGTGAGAGCGTGGTGCTGATGAGGCACCAAACGTCAGTTTTGAACTGCAGCTGAGTTAGGTCAGCTTGGCTGAAGAAAATTTTCCAGCTTTGCCCGGTTGTCAGCATTTGTGTCATTAGTTGTAAGGACTGAAAGTTGACCAAGCTTACCAATAATTCAACAGTCAGTCTCTGCTGGAAACCGAATTCGGTGTTGTGTTACGCTGTTAAAGGTAGTACAGATGGTCCACTATTAGGATTTTTTGACCATGGTGGGAAAGTGGCAAGCATTCGGTAACCTCAACTTGTGGCATTACCTTCAGCAAAATCGATTGTAAACCGAGTGTCTATAATTTCATCTGCATTTTAAAAAAATATAATGACTTGGGTTCATTCCCTTAATGTGAATATGTTGGCAGTTATGAGCTTTTTTTGAATTGGAGTCTCCTCCCTATGTTGCCCAAGCTGGTCTCAACTCCTGGGCTCAAGTTATCCTCCTGCCTCACCCTCTGGGACTACAGGCATGTGCCACTCTGCCAGGCCCAGTCATCATTTATCTTAATGTATAAAGAGTAACGTTTGGTGAGCAACATAAGGCTTTTGGTAACTATGTTGAATATTTATTTATTTATTTATTTGGGACGAGTCTTGTCTATTGCCCAGGCTGGGGGCAGTGATGCAATCTCAGCTTGCAGCAACCTCCGCCTCCCAGGTTCAAGTGATTCTCCTGCTTCAGCCTCCTGAGTAGCTGGGATTACAGACATGTGCCACCATGCCCTGCTAATTTATTTTGTATGTTTAGTAGGGTGGGGGGTTTCACCAT